TTCGAGAAAACCACTCAAGATAAAGGCACATGAAGTTAAAAACTAACTCCGAGCATGAAAAGTGAGGTTGTGCCAAAAACTGGCAAACGGAGATAAGACAGAATAGGGAAAAGGACAAAATAGTACATAGTGTCCGAAAAGTGAAAATGCAGAAATGACTCGATCCTCAAAGGAAGTTGTCAAACCACATAAAAGAGTCTCAGAAACCATTTTCAAGCACTCGAAACGACACTAAGCGAAAAGAAACAGAGCTCAGAAAAGAAAATTAAATGGAAAAAATTTATCAGTAAAATTTCAGGAAAAAAAGGAAAGGAAGGTAAATGACCGGGTCATTACAGGTGGTTAATTAATATAACCACTCTTGGACACTAGTTAGTTGACCAATAGGATAATGATGTATTGGTTAAATGTTGGAACTTTAGCATGAATATTAATATAACATGTTATATGGTTAATTAATATAACTACTTTTGGACACTAGTTAGTGGTTGGTTGGTTTTACCACTTTAGTGAAAAATAAAGATAATGTTTAAATACACTTTTGATAGTGTGTAGTAACGTGGTATTTATTTTAATACACGTAATTGGATTAATAAATGGTTTTATTTAATTATTAAATTATAAATCATTTTTTGGGATAATGTTATATGTATTTAATTAAATTCATATTATTAATTATGATTTAGTTATATGAACGGATGTCCTTCAGATCTATAAAAATGGTCTATGACTGTAGTAATTAATCTATCTCTGATTTATATTTTGTGGATGAGATTAATGTGTATATGGAGTGTAATCATGAAGGTAGCTAATAAGTTAGGCTCCTTGATAATTTATTTATATGGTTGGATTGTATGGATATGGAAAACTTTGTTTGGTTATATTATGGATTAATGCATGATTATGGGATGGGGGCATATTATAGACGGATTAACTAAAAATGTTAAGTCCTACCTATTCATGTATAAGGGAATGGATCAACTAAAATGTTAAGTCATACTTATATTCGTGTCAGGTTAACATTATAGTTGGATGACATATCATGGTTTACTTTTATGTTTGGATAGGACGGATTATATATATATAGTTATATGCCATGATATGAGCTTAAGTTTTAGGATCATGGTTAGAGTGCGTATATTACCTGGGATGCCTAGTTGGATATAAAGGATGTGGTGTGCCTTGGTAGATGACGGTGTTCATGATTGCCTTGTGTTTTGCATGATACCTAGTATCAGGATGAACCTGCCTTATAGTCCAGTGAGAGTCCGTCTAATATGTATATATCTAGATATAGACTATGTAGCTATTGTATAAGTTGACTAAGATGTATTCATTCCTTAGGTCACTATTAGATGTAGTAGAAAGAACTTGTTTGTGGGCCTGACTCATTATTTATTTTTCAGGTCTATGTAGATTTTGATCATGCAGAGGAGAGACTAGTCATCATCATTCTTCCGAATCTTCTACATAGGATTTTACTTTATGTTTTAGTATTTAGATGTAAACAGTTATTACTGTTGATTATCAATTTGGGATTGTCTAGGGGTCCACACAGTATAGATTCCCAAGTTGTATTTTGGAGGATTAGATATATCAAAAGATTTACTATTTAACGAAAATATATTTCGAGGATTTTAAATATTGGATTATCAATTTAGTTTTCTTTTCAGCATCTTATTTATTCTTATTTATCCTTTTATATTCTGTGTTCGTTTATTACTGATTTGTTTTTGATATCTCCGGGTATTCAGGCGTGGGTCTGGCCAACTCGAATTCGGAAATTTGAGTGTATCACAAGCTCTTTATCACTTAATGCCCTAAAATCGTCTGGTTTGGGAGTCATTGGCCAAAAGTTCGCTACACGGGTGATTTAGAAAGCTTAATAGACCTGAGCATTGCACAATATCCTTTTTGAATACATACCTATAGAAAAAAATATATAATGCCTTGGGAATTGGAATTTGAAAAGTTTGCATGTAAATTGAGGGATAGCATAGAATGAATGCAAGTATGGATAGTAAGCCACATGTTTGAAATTGCGAGTTTACTTCTAAAGGGTTTTGGAGATTGGGATTGTTGAATAAATGATTAAACTGACATATTGGGACAATGGCTTCTAAATTGAAATTGGAAATTGAAAGTTTTTCTGATTAATATAATTGGTTGTACTTGCTATATTTGATTGATTGATGAACTGCTAGGATATTATGATTTGAAAATAGGCTTGAATGAACTTATTGTGTAATTAAGGCACTGTCTGAGATGTTTGTGGATACCATCACTGAAAACCCTCACGAGACTACAACTCGTCCACTAGGGGTAACCTAGGGGTTTAAAGGCTTGTTGCATAGGCTAAATGCAATCGTGATTCCCACGAAAGCTACTTTTTGGTTCTGTATTGCTTAAGGACTAGCAATATGTAAGTTTGGGGGTGTGATGGGCGCTGAATATTGCATATTTGAGCCCCTAAATATACATATGTTAAGACCTAAAGTGAAACTTTTATCCATTGTTAGACTGATTTATGTTTATTGTGTGTTTATAAGTACTTTCTAAAAAAAATAGTTAAAACCGAGACTTTATGATGAAAAGACTGATATCGAAACTTACAGAGTCGTTGCCTGTTATTTTAAGTAAGCCAAGAGCTTAAATGGCGAAGTTTGGAAGAATCCAAGTACCAAGGCTCGAGCCTAAGTTCTGAGGCTTGAGCTCTGTAAGAAAAAGAAGAAAAATCAACCAAGGCATTAAAGCTCGAGCCTCGTACTTCCAGAGCTTAAGCCCTACACAGTGGTGCTCGAGCCTTACCCAAGGGTGCTTGAGCCTTTGCCTGCAAGCTCGAGCTTGAGGCATCGGAATTCAAAGAGTTGATTTCAAGAAAGCCAAGCTCCCAAGGCCTCATGCCAGACCTCAAGGGATCGAGTACTATCATTCAGAGCTCGAGCCCGAGCCCCAAAAGCTCAAGCTTTGTACCTAATGCTGGCTCCTATGAAGCAAGGATAAAGTAATGTTAAAATAAGAAAACCCAAAAATATTCTAAGTGTTGATGGAAAAGATGCTTTGAAAAATAGTAGAAGAAATATGACTAAATATAAAAGTAAAGATCGAGCACCATTCTATGAAGCTCGAGCCATATTTCAAGAAAGCTTGAGCTTTGCTCCCAAAGCTCAAGCCTAGGCTAAATAGGTCAAGCTTTACTTCTAAAGCTCGAGCCTTCTATGACAGACTGGATTTATAAGTTATGAGAATTATTCTTTTCTAAGTCTTAAATCATTCCAGATGGGCCAAAAGACTTAAAAGCCCGCCAAACCCTTAATTCTTCTATAAAAGAAGGCACAGGCCTTAGTAGAAGGAGCCACTTTTTCCTCGTATTGTTTAGAGTTCTGCTATTGTGGTAGTAACTTTTAAGGTTTCCATAACCTTAGAAGGTGAAGATCCTAAGAAAAGAAGTGCCATCCGTGACGATGAAGACGACAATAACACAAATGATATTATGCGTCGTTATGAGTAGCTAATTCCTTTCTTAGAGCATTGATGTAACGTTGGATCCAAGGGCTGCACAAGCTTTATCTTGAATCACCGTGGAATTTGGATGAAGAACGGCACGATTTGATGTGTTTGTTGTTGATTACCATGAAATTTAGATGAAGAACGACACGATTTGATGTGCTTGTTGTTCTTCGCTTTTGGGTTTGGGTATTTCTCTCCGAAATTCTGGATTTCTGAATTCTGAATTTGTGTATCCTCCTCCTTCCTCCAGGCCTCTATTTATAGGCTTCTTTGATTAATAGGATGATGACACGTGTCATCTCCTGATAAGGATAAAATCATAACTGGGTCGGGCCGGTTATATTATGATAATTATCATTAAAAATAATTATTCCAAATATATTTTATTAGAAATAATTATCTTTTTATTTAATCATCTGAGCTGGGCTAATTAAATAATTTAAGTGGACCAAACTTGGGCCAATTAAATAACTTAATTAAACATTATACCTATATTTGACGGGTCAATTTGTCAAAACCAAAGCCCACTAAAATTTTAGTGTCTACAAGCACAAGCAGCAGCCGTGGTCAATCTCGACACACTCTTTTCTTGGGAGACCAGGTTTACATTCTTGGGTGCAGTCAATTTCTATATCAGAGTGGTTTCAAACGAGGTCGAGTCCGAAGTTTTGCACAGCTACTGAAGCTCAGACAAGGAAAACATTCCAAGTAATCAGGCCACCCGTGCCAGGTCCTGCGCTGAGCAGAAAATTGTCCTCTTTTCTGTCAGTCATCAAGAGGGGTAAATGATCGACACAAATTGTCCTCTATGATGATTGATGATGAGTTTTATATACAGGCATGCGTATGGAAGCATTTTCTTTTTCACCAACTTAAACTAATTTTGTTAATGGTTTTTTCATCTGATATGAAAACTGTAGTATCCATTTAGTTGCAAACATTGAAGTTTTTGTGGGACTTGCTTAGATCCATCCAATCTCTTCTTCTCTTTCCACTTTAAATCCATCCAATCTAGAACAAGGGAAGGAAAATTGAAGATGATTTATGGCTCTGAAAGGTCCCTCCACTCTCTTTATCGTCACTGGACAGTTGGATTCTCAGTTGCAGATTCCATATTCTCCAGTTCTGCTAGTATTCATTATAGTAAATGCGAGCTACATGTTTGAGTTGAGCAAAATGAAAATCTAAGTTCAGATTTGTTGTCAATTTTTAATTCGAGATTAAAATAAAAAATAAAAATAAAAATAAAAATAAAGTGAGGAAAAGGTTAACATTTTTTCATACATAATGTTTTTATTTATTTATTTATTTTCAGGTGCTGTCTGGCTTTTAAAACTATTTTTGAATTAAAATTAAAATTCTTATTTGAGTCTCTTACTGTCAATTGGTCCAATTATTATTATACCAATAATAATAATTATTTGACAAGAAATATAAAAAATAACCCATTGATTTTTGAAAAAATGATAAGGAAATCGAATCAAGCCTCTCTATTATCGAATTCAACAAGTGAGGTTTTAGAAAGTAATAGTACAGATTAATCACTAAGTCAATAATGATGACAAAAAAATTATAATAATAAAAGTAAATTGAAGAAACCAAAAATAGGAAATTGTATGATTGTTGTTAAAGAAGATATTGGCCTTGTGTCTCCTGAGTCTCGCTCCATAATATGTATTGGGCTTATTGGTTCTTCTCTTAAGAGTTGTTTAGTTTCTGGTTGCCATAGCACGTGTAAAAAGGTTTCTTCCATACCTGGACATTCAAGTTCCTGTGATGAGGAGCAACTGAAGTTTTCGGGTTGTTAATGGATTTCTTCCTCGTAAAATAAACTCACTTGTACTTGATGAGTGTGGAATTAAGGCTCACCACAAAACTTCAATGTTTGCACCTAAATGGAAACTACAGCTTTCATATGCCTACAATCAGATGAAAAAACCATTAGCAAAATTATTTTAACTCAATAAGTTGGTGAAAAAGAAAATACTACCATACACATACCTGTATAAAACTCATCATCAATCATCGTACATGATAAGTAAAAATGTAAAACTTCCAACCAAATAATAACCAAATCCACAACAAAAAGATGCCACTAGGAATCATTTGGATCTATAAATTAGCAAGGAAAAATCTAGAAAAGGGAGGATAATAACAGCGTCCATATCTGAAAAGATGTCACTTAGGCATATCAAATACCGCTCTTGATGACCGACAGAAACGAGGACAATTTTTTGCTCAACGCAAGACCTGGCTCAGGTCGCCTGATCACTTGGAATGTTTTCCTTTGTCTGAGCTTCAGTAGCTGTGCAAAACTTTGGACTGAACCTTGTTGTAAATCTCTGTGACTTATAATTTGACTGCACCATAGAAAGTAAACCTGGTTTCTCCTGTGAAGAGAGTGTCGAGATTGACCTCTGCTGCTGCTCAAGTGGCATTCTAGTTGTTTGCTTCTGCAAAAATGGGATGGCAAACAGCAATTACTACCATAACTAAGATTACAAAAGAGGGAAGGCAGAAACGGGATACAGTATACTATGACTACCATACTCTTTATAACAAGGAGTGGGAGCAATGCTTTGCTGAGTTATTCTTCACAACGAATGCATACAAAATCATGCTAACATAATACTGGACTTCCAATACATATAGAAGATACATGACAAAATTATTTCGGATGGAAGTCTAGCACGAAAGCTCCCATCCATGAATTCTGATTTTATTAATTCGTACATAATTGGGCATGTAGAAGGTACATCGTATCGTACTCAAACATATATTTCATTTTCTATGTTCTATATGCACATATTAAGAAGAAAGGGGTCAAATTTTATACATAGAATAAACTAATCTATATCAAAATAGAGATATCCTATTCCTAATGACTCCACACACACACATATATATCTAGAGAGAGAGAAAAAAAAAAAAAAAAAAAAATCAATCCTGAAAAAGGGAAGAAACAAGAAGCCGGTAGGAAGCCGGAGGAACAACCTACGATTAAAAGGACTGGACAAGCATGCTATAAGTTGAAAAAGGCAAGTGACAATCTTAATTGCTTCAATTTAAAAATACGTACATCTAGTTCATAATGAATCTGTTCTCCCTCGTGTAATTGGGATACACGGGTAATAAATCATATGACTTGGTTGTTTAAGATTTCTAATTACAGTGGCTTTGATTCATTTTCCTTTATGTGAAAAGTTACAAAATCATTGATTAACTATGTTTGGGAATTACACACACACCCCGTTACACATCTACACTTCAAAGAAAAAAATAATAAAAAAAGAGAAACATGGATTGCAACTCGTTAGTACACGCTATATATTATAAGTGATAGTGAGACGAATAGAGACATGTTAAACATGATATGAATGTGAAATATGCTTAATGATTATACATCTATACCGATATGTTTAGTCAGAATGGGGTCATGTTCTGTCCAGGACCTGGTAGCGAGCCCTGCGTTTGGATATACTGATTCAACAGAGTCGTGAGAAGAGGATGCATGCTCTATTGATGGTAGATAGGCAAGGACCAAGAGAGATTTCTAATTGAGTTTAGTATATCTAGTGTCCTGGCATGCTTATTTTTATCTCATGGAGTTACACTTGGAAGATGGTATGAACAGATATATATATATATAAGAGTAATGTCCAGACTCGGTGATTCAATGTGTTAAAATTTTGAACCCAGATATATGTAGACATTTGTAGATATAGATATCGGAATCAACAATAAGCAATATTATTGTTCCTGTGAATGGTTGATTATAATTCCAGATTTGGTCGGTGTGATTGAAATGTAAATTTATTTGAAATTAACTATAATAAAACATCAATGAATGATTGTCGAATTTTTAATAAATAATAAAGGATAATAACTATATAAATTTATAGAATAAGAATAACTAGATATTAGTACTCTTAAGAACGGACAAAGCATAAATGGAAACCGTCCTCATTAAGAGAATCATATATTTATATATAAAATGAGAAAAGACAATGAGAAGGCGGCCTTGGCAGAATGGCATGTTTGTTTCATTGTAATATGGAGGTCACATGTTCGACACTGAAATCGCCTCTCCGCATGTGGAGGTAAGACTGTGTACATCTAATCCTCTACGGACTTCGCAATGGTAGGAGTCTCAGCACTGGGCTAATCCATTTTAGATTTAGAATCAGAATTGCGATTAATGATTAGTATAATACATGCAAAATGTAATAAGGTTTGTACCGAGGCCTCCTCCCTCAGGAGCTTCCACTGACAGGACCACAACAAGAATGTCACCCCTTTTTTTTCGTCTCAATTTACTAACTTCTGTCGAAGTTTATAACATTATGTTTTTGTTTTTATGAGAAATGGAACTTCTACATTCCAACACTGGTTTTCTTTGAAAAATGGTCCTTTTCCCTTTGATTCTACAAGGGCATCTTCTTATACTCATTTAGTACATTCAATCACCCTATTCTATGTTAGTTTCATCTTCTAAATTTCATATTGCTGCTTTTTATCATCCATTTAAAAAAAATTCTACTTTCTCCTCTCTCAAATTCCACCATTTAGTTCTTAGGTTAGTACTTTACTTCTAATTTTTTGTTGTCCTTTTACAGACACATGTAAAACTAGTAAACTAATTTGTGACATTAAATTCTCTTCGGGGATTAGCTTACAATCATTTAGGGAAAAAAGACAAAATGGCTTGGCTCATATTTGGTCCACTTAAAGCTAATGAACAAGTCCATTTGGGATGTTCAGCGACGAGTTATTGGCAGAGTAAACAATGTGAGACTGAGACAAGGTTTGTGTAACTTTCTTTGAGATAGTGGATTGATTTGCCTGAAATGTCTAGTCTAGTCTCCATGGTTTTCTTCCTCACTGAGGTTTTTTCATGTTAAAAAATCTGGTGTGTTCTTTCCTTTACTTGTTTTACTATATTGTTTATTTTGTGCTTGGTTTAGATTTAATTGTCAATCGGCGTGGTTAATTAATCAATCATAAAAATCAAGCAAGAAGACCTATTCACCCCCTCTATGTCTAAGCTGTTGGGAAACGTGCAAATTTTTAAAACTTTTTGAGGGATTTGCAATCATAGATCTTGATTCATTACATGTAGACAAGTTTTATGCAAAGATAAATAAAAGATGATGCATAATTCAATAAACAGATTGAATACTCACATCAAAGGTCTGAGTGAACTTTCCTCTAAAGTGAATGTTCTCACTTATTGTAGATCCCTTTAGCAAGATCCTTTCTCCTTCTTTTTGATTATTATCTTCCCTTTAGGAATCACCAATATGCCTTGATGAATGACCTTAGAATCTAGGCTGGTGGTAGCCTCCTTTAGAAGAGAAACAAAACCCTAAAATCTAGAGAGAGAAAATGTATTCCTTTTTCTTGTTCTCCAAGTCACACCTAAAATATACATGAACTCATGTACATATAGGCAAAATAAAAATAAGAATAAAGAAACAATAAATCATTCTCCATCTCTAATTCAACTTTCTCAATCCTAACATGACTCCAATATCAACTTGGGCTATTGGTGAGAATCCTTTTGGGCTTACTATTTTCTTGGCTCTTATAAATTAATAATTGGTCCGGTCCATTAAACCATGGACCCAATTCAATTAATTCATAAATTAATTTCTACTCCACTAAAAGAAATTAATTGCACTCCAATTAAATAGTAAATAACCTCTAAGTCAATGTTGCACTTTGACCCCTCTATGCTTAATTATTTATCGGATAATTAAAGCCATCAATCCGACAATATAATTAATATAATTATTTTGTTACCTTTGATTATTTCCGGCTCGATCACAATAAAATATTTATTTGACAAAAAATAATAATTTATTAAATAAATATATATATATAAAACATTTGTCTAAAACATACGAAGGCCTTCGAATTTAATTTGTGATCAACCATAATCAAAACAAAATAAATACAAATAGCACTGATGCAAATATTGAGAATATAGACCTCTAATTATTAATTACATAACTACCCAAAGTGTCGATCCAAGGATCCCGAGGTATTCGCCGAACAAATCAAAGTAATTATTAATTAATAAAAGAGTCTATACTTCTCTCATGCTTGAGAGTCAAAAGCCATGACTGTGATAGAGAGCAATTGCATACGACAGCTCTCGCAATATATCTCAATCTATCGTGGACTCGGTTTAAGTCTTAACTAATTAAATGTCCATCCATAATTACCGACTTTAAATCATTTATGATTACTAATTTATATCATAGTATTAATTGCCATTACATACATATATAAATATATTTTGTAATCAAGCGTGCACCATCAATTCCATAAAGAATCGAAAAATAATACATTCCATTCACCAATTGTATAATGCTTTAATAATAATATCCAGACAAGAAACCATGACTTTTACAATCCAAAATTAGAATTTGCTATGGTAGGGCACACATATCCTAACAGCTCCCACTTGCACTTATAGCCAATTCAAATCACATCTAACTCCCATGTTCTCCATATGACGATCAAACATCTTGATCGGTAAAGCCTTTGTGAATGGATCAGCAAGGTTATGTTCCGATGCAATCTTGGCCACAAGTATATCTCCTCGCTTTACTATATCACGGACCACATGATGTTTCCTCTGAATGTGTCTTGTTCCTTTATGAAATTTTGGGTCCTTGGTTTGGGCTATAGCTGCACTATTATCACAATAAAGCGTCATAGGCCGATTTATATGCTCCACAACCTCCAGTTCAATTAGAAAGTTTCTCAACCAAACAGCTTCTTTTGCTGCCTCAGAGGCTGCAATGTATTCTGCTTCCATGGTTGAGTCAGCAGTACAACCCTGCTTGACACTCTTCCAACTAACTGCCCCTCCATTGAACTTAAACACATATCCAGATGTAGATCTCCTGGCATCTGGATCTGATTGAAAATCAGAATCCGTATATCCGACTGGAACCAGATCATCACCTCCATAAATGAGCATTAGATTCTTAGTTCTTCTAAGGTATTTTAAGATATTCTTCACAGCTGACCAATGATCAAGTCCAGGATTGGACTGATATCTACTGACAATCCCTACCGAGTAGCAGATGTCTGGTCTGGTACAGACCATGGCATACATGAGACTACCAACTGCCGAAGCGTATGGTATCCGCCTCATTTGCTCAATTTCCTTATCAGTCTTGGGAGACTGGTCATTAGAAAGAGCCAACCCATGTCTAAATGGCAAAAACCCTTTCTTAGAGTTTTCCATTCCAAACCTGATCAGAACTTTGTCAATGTAAGACTCTTGAGACAAGCCTATTTTCTTTTTAACCCGATCTCGCATAAGCTTGATCCCAAGAATATAGCTTGCTTCTCCAAGATCTTTCATCTCAAATTTATTGAACAACCACCTTTTAACTGATGACAATGCTTCTACATCATTACCAATGAGCAAGATGTC